GGTCAACACGCTGGAGGGAAGGGATGCCATCCAGAGGGACCTTGACAGGCTTGAGAGGTGGGCCCGTACGAACCTCTTGAAGTTCAATAGGGCCAAGTGCAAGGTCCTGCACATGGATTGGGGCAATCCCAAGCACAAATACAGGCTGGGCAATGAGTGGATTGAGAGCAGCTCTGAGGAGAAGGATGTGGGGATATTAGTGGATGAAAAACTGAATATGAGCCAGCAATGTGTGCTCACAGCCCAGAAAGCCAATGCATTCTGGGCTGCATCATAAGAAGTGTAATCAGCAGGTCGAGGGACGTGATTCTGCCCCTCTACTCTGCTCTCATGAGACCCCACCTGGAGTACTGCATTCCGTCCCGAGGCCCCCAACATAAGAAAGACATGGACCTGCCCAAGGAGGTCCTTATAAGGACAGGTTGAGGGAGTTGAGCTTTTTTAGCCTAGAGAAGAGAAGGCTCCGGGGAGAGCTTATAACAACCTTCCAGTACTTAAAGCGGGCCTACAGGAAAGATGGGAAGGGACTCTTTAACAGGGAGTGTAGTGATAGGACAAGGAGTAACAGTTTTAAACTGAAAGAGGGTAGATTTAGATTAGATGTAAGGAAAAAATTCTTTACTGTGAGGGTGGTGGGACACTGGAACAGGTTGCCCAGAGAATTTGTGGATGCCCCATCCCTGGAAGTGTTCAAGGCCAGGTTAGATGGGACTTTGAGCAACATGGTCTAGTGGAAGGTGTCCCTGCCCATGGCAGGGGGTTGGAACTAGATGATCTTTAAGGTCCCTTCCAACCCAAACCATTTTATGATTCTGTTCTATGATTCTGTGAAGATTATGGACTAAAACCTGAGACAGATTGGGAAGTACAGGAAAATTATGCTCATAAATTATGGTGAATGAGCTATTTCATTAAAGCAAGACAGTGTGTGGAGAACTTACAGCACCTTAACCAGTCAATCTGTCTACAGTTTGACCTTTGTAACTGCTACTGAAATAGGCATGATCTGAAAACAGTGCAGCTAGAACTTATGTAATACAGGTGAAAAAGGACTATGGCAAGCTCCCTGAGACATAATATATGTTGGAGATACCTCTGACAGGCACTCCTCTTCTCCACAGTGCTGATACTGACTCCTAATTAAGGAACATCACTGGGAAAGGGATTGTCACTTTGTCACAAGGGATCCTTCCTGAGCCTCCATATGCAACATCAGACAACATTTCCTCACTTCTGTCACGGTGGTGTCAAAAGGTAAATGAGAAAGTTGTTCATGAATTGCTTTAAAAAAATCTTAAACCCATCATATACATGCTTCATTACTACATTTTAACTATCTTACCTGGTACAAAATAATCATTCTCTGTAAACCAGTTGTATTCTAAGTGGATTCCCAGACGAGCAGCCTTAACAGTAACCAGAAAAACTAAGTAGACAACTGAAACCGTACCTAGAAAAGACAAGAGCCAAACAAACATCATGAGGCAGTAGAAAGTATTTGTGATCTGTTTTATTCTGGCTCCATCCAGCTAGTTACCAGTAGCCCAAACACATAGGGTTGGTATTCATTCTTAAAAATACAGGCTAGTCTAAATTTTCTTTTTCTTTATTTCTTTCATAGGTCAGAGAGAAAGAATAATGCACTTGCACCCAATGGAAGCTTTCAGCATGTTTAATGTTCTCCAGATGCTGCAGTAGTGACAGTGGAAGAAGTACCCTGAAATCCCTGGTGCTGGGCAGGTAGGGAGAGCTCTAGGCAGTAACTCATTGGTTCCAGCTTCAGCTGCCAGGATTTTAATCTAACATGAGACAAAGTTGGCCACAGTACTGCAGCCATTACAACATCTATTCCGTCACTGACTTTTTGAACCCAATGGCCCAATGAGATATGAATGTTTACTGCAGTTGTGAACTTCACACTGTGAGCTAGAAACTGATAAGGGCATTTGATCACTACTGATTTAAACTTTATCTTTATCATAACCATGGATAACCTTGATCATAACACTGGATTTGCATTCCATCTCATTGGTTCAGAGGCATCCAGCAATACTCTGCACAGCTAGAGGCCTACAGGTAAGATCACAGATAGGTATAAATGCCTTGCTGTGTCTGCCTGTGGGATGGAAAGCATATGATCTTGGCTCCTGCCATTCAGAAGAGGTAAGGACAGAATAATAAGTACCTAAAAATTGAAGGAAACTGTACAACAGTAATTAAGGCTACTGCAATGCAACATCCCGGCCAACGGTACTGCTAGTCACCAGAGAACAGGCTATAGGTAAGTAAAACCAAAGAAACAGCATTTTTACAGTTTATAATACAGGTTCAGATAAGACATAATTTCTTTCTAGGAATATCTCCAAGGTTAAAAAATAAACTGAAGAAATTATAATTCGATTACACAGAGCATAGTCAAGGAATTAGGAAGATAAAAGGTTCTGTACTTGAGGATCAGCTTAATGGCTACAATATTCTGTAGTTTCCTAATGATTTAGGTTTCTGTAGGTGTAAAGATACATAAAAGTGCTCTATTAAGATTCATTTCAGCATCTCAAAAATTGCCTTCCATTTTTTCTGGTCCTATAAATGTCAAGGTTTACAAAAACTAAGGCAACTTTGAACAGCTTCTGAATTACACAATAATCTACTGAAGTTATGAGAAATTCATATTTTAATATTCAGGTTCTCAAATAAAAGAATAGTTGCCCATGATAATGTGCTGCTTTTAAAAAAAGATACAGTTATGGCTAGACCTCACTTGATCAAATATTTTCTTATTCTTAATGTTATACCTAGTCTACGTAAAAACCTTACTTTTTACACAGAGGTACTATCACTTACCCAAGTTCCTGTGTTGCATTTTCATTTAGTGGTTCCAGCAACAGCAGATCCAAGCTCTAATTAAGTGTCATACTGGAACACAGGACAAACTAGACTCTCAATTCCCTGTCCTCTACCTCCTTTACAATACATCTCCATCATCTTTCAACCTATTCTGTGATCCCCCATCCCCTTTCCTTTTCTCTTCATCATGGGCTTCAATACTATGCCCTCAGACCTCTCCTACTTCATAAACTGTGACCAACCCTACCCATCATCCATGTACTTTATCCATTTCACCAATACCACCTGCCTCAGTCTTCTACCTCAACACATGGAAGCAAGGAGGAGTCGCAATTTTTGACCTTGTAGGGTACAACAGGCCAGGGTATTGGGAGCTGGGGCAAAGCACAGCAGCAGGTTATGCTGATTGATGTTGTGATTAATTAATCAACTGATTGGCAGCAAATGACTTCAGGTCAGAAGCAATTAATCTTTGGAAGTAATTGCCTGTGTTGAATGTTTACCAGATGAGGAAGGGTATGCCTGACTGTTTGTGCCAAGGAAGTAAACATCAAATGCTGCATAGTAGTATGTGTACCACAGTCTGGGAAAATCTGTTGTAAATACATAGAACTTGTTTTCCAGGATTATCAAGTGAGTAAAAGAAAAAAAACACAGAATCATAGAATCATTTAGGTCGGAAAAGACCCTCAAGATCATCGAGTCCAACCATCATCCATGCCCACTAAACCATGTTCTGAAGTGCGTTGTCTACATGCTTTTTGAATACATCCAGGGATGGTGACTCCACCACTTCCCTGGGCAGCCTGTTCCAATACCTGAAAACCCTCTCAGTAAAGAAATTTTTCCTAATATCCAATCCAAACCTCCCCTGGCGCAACTTGAGGCCATTTCCTCTCATCCTATCACTAGTTACTTGATAGAAGAGACCAGTACCCACCTCACTACAACCTGCTTTCAGGTAGTTGTAGAGAGTGATAAGCTGTCCCCTCAGCCTCATTTTCTGCAGACTAAACAACCCCAGTTCCCTCAGCCGCTCCTCATAAGACTTGTGCTCCAGGCCCCTCACCAACTTGGTTGCCCTTCTCTGGACACGCTCCAGCACCTCCATGTCTTTCCCATAGTGAGGGGCCCAAAACTGAACACAGGACTCGAGGTGCGGCCTCACCAGTGCTGAATACAGGGGAACAATCACCTCCCTGCTCCTCCTGGCCACACTATTTCTGACGCAGGCCAGGATGCCTTTGGCCGCCTTGGCCACCTGGGCACACTGCTGGCTCATATTCAGCCAGCTGTTGACCAGCACCCCCAGGTCTTTCTCTGCTGGGCAGCTTTCCAGCCACTCTTCCCTAAGCCTGTAGCACTGCACGGGGTTGTTGTGACCAAAGTGTAGGCCCCGGCACTTGGCCTTGTTGAAAGTCCTTATTAACTGTAAGACTGAAGCAAAGCAGGGTAGAAAGCCTGTAGGTGATTAACAAACCAAGCAGTGAATCACTCCGAGGCACAATATCGGCTGCCGGGAAACTACTGGAAGAGTGGCTGGAAAGCTGGCTGGTGGAAAAGGACCTGGAGGTGTTGGTTGACAGCCGGCTGAATATGAGCCAGCAGTGTGCCCAGGTGGCCAAGAAGGCCAATGGCATCCTGGCCTGCATCAGAAATAGTGTGGCCAGCAGGAGCAGGGAGGTGATTGTTCCCCTGTGCTCGGCACTGGTGAGGCCGCACCTCGAGTCCTGTGTTCAGTTTTGGGCCCCTCACTACAGGAAAGACATGGAGGTGCTGGAGCGTGTCCAGAGAAGGGCAACCAAGTTGGTGAGGGGCCTGGAGCACAAGTGTTGTGAGGAGCGGCTGAGGGAACTGTGGGGTGGTTTAGCCTGGAGAAAATGAGGCTGAGGGGAGACCTTATCGCTCTCTACAACTACCCAAAGGGGGGTTGTAGTGAGGTGGGTACTGGTCTCTTCTATCAAGTAACTAGTGATAGGATGAGAGGAAATGGCCTCAAGTTGCGCCAGGGGAGGTTTGGATTGGATATTAGGAAAAATTTCTTTACTGAAAGGGTTTTCAGGTATTGGAACAGGCTGCCCAGGGAAGTGGTGGAGTCACCATCCCTGGACGTATTTAAAAGATGTGTAGATGTAGCACTTAGGGACATGGTTTAGTGGTGGACTTGGCAGTGTTATGTTAATGGTTGGACTCGATGATCTTAAAGGTCTTTCCCAACCTGAATGATTGTATTCTATGATTCTACTCATTGGAGTAGCTTTCACTGTCTTCTACACATTTTAGCCACAATGAACTAATGCTATGAAAGTATTTGTTACCTACCTAGGACATTAAACTTTGCAAAGAAGGATGGAGACTTCAGATTTAGCAGGGGCAGAAGAACAGCAATCAGGTAAAATGGTACTGTTTGTGATTTGTTCCACCACTCCTCGAAGAGTTCAAAACCAGTATTGTTGCCAGAAGAGAAGATCACACTCTTGTTCTGTGGTGGGTGACTGCTAGCAGCACTTGGACAAATGACTGGGAGAAAGGAAAAGAAAAATATCCCCAGGTGAAAATGGTTTCACTTGCATAGAATCTTCACAGCCAAGATCCTATAATTTCTGGAGTGTTCTACCTATGGGGAATAAGACCACTCAAAAGCAATGTTTGACAATTCAGTTCCTAACTTCTATTTGTTTTTTTATCAGGAGTTCAGTGCTAAGGTTTCATTGGTAGGCACCCTGCACTCTAAGCTGACAAGTGCTATGTTTTTTTCAGCCGAGCACAACAAAGATGCTATTTGTCTGACACCTGAGCTAGGGCATAGGATCAGCCTTCAAGGTGACATACCAGTAACTAGGTGTGTTCAGTGCCTACATGCATCTGCTGGAATCAAGTCATAGGAACACACCTCTGCAACTGGCTGCGTATTTAGCTTTGTAATCTGTCCCTGCACACTTCAGTAAGATCATATGAACCAAGATGCAAGCGCACCTGTGTATAGAAGAGCCTGTATTACTGTACACTGCTCTGGGAACACACAAACTAAGGATGACAAGAAAGCTACTACAACAATTGGCAGGTCTAAAACTCATGCACTGAACCAAAACATCCTGTCATCTTGGTGCCGTGCCAGGTGCAAGTACAACACTGCTAGACAAAAAAACGGAAGCAATTTATGCACCCATAGTATATGCACCCATAACACTTGCAAAAGGGAACATCTCACTGCTGTTACATGGTGGCTGATCAATGGCAGCACCTGAACAAGTGACTGGAACAAAACCAACCAACCAAAAAGATCCCTTGATAAAAATGTGTTTATTTGATTTTTGTTATAATCAGCATTTCTTTCTAACACATGCCTACAAAGTTACATGTTGAAATATGAACCTGTGTTACTGTTCTTATAATGTCTTATTTTAAATTTTGGCATCCTGCAATACTTGATAGCCTCCCTCCTACATTGGCTGCACGCCTGTTCTGTTACAAAGGCAAAGGTGTAAAAAGTGTTCTGCCAAATTTCTTGAGAGACCATTATGTTACTTCCAGTTTTCTCATTTGCTGTCTCTCCATTGCTTATAAGAGGACTGTTTCACAGACCTTGAAAAATGCTTTTGTTGTTACTGATCTCCTTGGTAGCCCTGAATGCCCTGCCAAGAGTCATTTGAGCATCTGGCAGCCATTAATTTTGTGAAGCAGCTGCTTTAAATCTTCCAGTTGCTGGAGGATGCTGTGGAATATTGTTGTCTACTTTGTCTCCAAGTTATACCCCCTGCTGCATTAACAATGGGACAGAACAGCAGAAGCAGGACAGAGCACAAGAGAAAGAGCACTGCAGCAGCTATTGGTGCCTTGCTGGTAAGGAGAAACAGGATTCAACGCTAGCTCAAATGCAAATCAACTGGTTTTCAGAATTTATTTCTCAACTCCTTTGCCTGACTCCAAGAGCTGCCCTCCAGAAACACGGCTGCAGCTAGTGTGATGTAGCTGTCTGGCTGGTACTGAAATGTTTCCCCATTCCCCTAAGCACCCAGGATACAGAAAATTTTCTGCTTTGTAACAAAGCACTACATGTTCAGTTACTATATATAGGTAGCAAGATCAGAGGCTGACAATGCCTAGCTCCTGCCTTCATTCTACGTTATTCTGCTTACTTAAGAACTTGCAACAGACCTGTCTCCATACTTGACTGCGGTTTCTTCCCTTAGTTGTGCAAATGTCAGACTCTCCACAAAACACAAGCGGATGCTCATTTAGCCTGACATTTGTTTCTTTTTGTGCTGAACATCATTAAAGCTGTTCTTATGGCATTTTTGTAATTAAGAATGTTGCTGTAGAGGTGGTGAGGAGCAAAGATGTCCCAGCCAAGATTTTAAACAGTAAACAGATCTGATGTGCCTTAACTTTAGGGTGCGAAAGATAAAATTCCTTAAGGCAATTCCTCACTGAGCAACTACTGTTAAGAGGTCTAACATTCATGGTTTTAAGGAGGATCTGTCTGGGTATACACACACTTGTAATTTGCTTTTTAATCCTTATTCCCACCCTCACTTACTTTTTTTTTTTTCTTTTCAACTATTAAGCTTTCCAAGTGTGTGGTTATTTGTGGAAGTACAAATCCCAGATAATCAGTACAAAGTACAAATCCCAGAAAATTACAGTTTTTTTAAAAAACAGGTAGTTAGAACTTATGATATACATTTTATAACTGGAATGTGGTTAGGCAAGGAAACATGATGATCTGCCTTTAAACCCCCACCCCAAACCAGGAAACAATACTAATAAGTGCTCTTACCTTTGTTACTTCCATTCGTGCCAGGAACAATATCTGTTACATTAATGTCATGCACAAAGTCTGAAAAGAAGAAAATCTTACTATCAATGCCCCAAACCTGCTGTTAGGCTTTTGTCTGTTGACTTGATAAAAATTAAGTAAGCAAATCTTTAGGAAAATGACATCAGAGGCACTTGCAATTCCCCCAACCCCAAGTGGATATTTTAAAACTTTCTTTTAGAAGTGTTTTAAAGTAGCCCCCCACTGCACTACTTTCTTCTCAGCAGCCCTGTCCTTTTATGAAGTTCCCAAGCCTCCCCTCCCAGCCGCTCATTCCTGTTTCCCCAGTACACCTCCACTTGTCCCAGCTCCTCTGTCTGCAGCGTTGTACAGTAGGTTAGTGGGGAGATGCGTCTTAAAACCAGTCTCTTTTGGGACAGAAAAAGAGTGCATGCAACTACATCCTTAGTCCAGATGGTATTATATGGAAAAAGCTTCCCCTACTAATTTTTCTAATCTTTTTCTCAGAAGAGACTCCGTGGGATGCTTTTTCCATGTTGTATTTTAAAGAAAGGTATCTCTGGAAAAAGATTTAAGTCTCACTGTCTACAGTCATCTCTAGTAGTATTTTGTTTCCAGTACACTCCTGTGCTACGTTATTGCTCTGCCACACCAGGTATTTCTTAGTTTCTGCAACTTCACCAGTATGAGAGTGTTGGATAGCAATTTCCTTATATTTATGTATATATACACACAGAAAATGCCCATCAGCGTGGAAATTTAATTAGTGTGTCTGTTGTTAAAATTTGCTTCTGCTGCATGTGGGTGTATTATGCACACAGAAAATCAACTGCGGCAGTAGACCTCAGATCTTTTTAATGCAATTAACTGCAACTTGTTTCCATAAAAAAAGTTTTGTTCCCACAAGACTTTTTTCTATTTTTTGTGTCTTCATTTTGATTTATGACACCCTGAATCACAGCTAAGTTTCTTATACTTACTGATATCAGTTCAGTTCAGCAATCAGAAGATTTAACTAAAATAATTCATCACCTCCTCACTTCACCACTGCTTTGTTTTACTAGTTAAAAAAAGTACCTAGTGTGAAGCCATCAAAAGAACTGATAGCTCTTAGAGAATTAGAGCTCTTTAGAATTAGTTATAGATGGATATCCAACCTATGTGTCCTCTGTACTTAAAAAGTGTTTTAGGACTAGCAATTGTATTTTTGGATTTATTTGTTTCATAAAACAAACACAAAACAAAAGGATGGGACACCATGTTAAAAAAAAAAAAGACAGGATATCATACTTATAGAATCATTTAGGTTGGAAAAGACCTTCAAGATCATTGAGTCCAACCATTAACCATGCCCACTAAACCATGTCCTGAAGTACCCTGTCCACTCGCTTTTTGAATATCTCCAGGGATGGTGACTCAACCACTTCCCTGGGCAGCCCATTCCAAAGTTTGACAACCCCCTCAGTAAAAAAATTTTTCCTAATATCTAACCTAAATCTCCCTTGCCTCAACTTGAGGCCATTTGCCCTTGTCCTATCTCCAGCCACCTGACAGAAGAGACCAGCACCCACCTCACTACAACCCCCCTTCAGGTAGTTGTAGAGAGCGATAAGGTCTCTCCTCAGCCTCCTCTTCTCCAGGCTAAACAACACCAGCTCCCTCAGCTGCTCCTCATAAGACTTGTGCTCCAGGCCCCTCACCAACTTGGCTGCCCTTCTCTGAACACAACTCCAGCACCTCCAAGTCTTTCCTGTAGTGAGGGGCCCAAAACTGAACACAGGACTCGAGGTGCGACCTCACCAGTGCCCAGTACAGGGGAACAATCACCTCCCTGCTCCTGCTGGCCACACTATTTCTGATACAGGCCAGGATGCCACTGGCCTTCTTGGCCACCTGGGCACACTGCTGGCTCATATTCAGCCGGCTGTCGACCAGCACCCCCAGGTCCTTCTCTGCCGGGCAGCTTTCCAGCCACTCTTCCCCAAGCCTGTAGCGCTGCATGGGGTTGTTGTGACCCAAAGGCAGGACCCTGCACTTGGCCTTGTTGAACCTCATACAATTGGCCTCAGCCCATCGATCCAGCCTGTCCAGATCCCTCTGTAGAGCCTCCCTACCCTCAAGCAGATCGACCCTGCCTCCCAACTTGGTGTCGTCTGCAAACTTGCCGAGGGTGCACTCAAACTTGCTGAGGGTGCACTCAAACTGGCTTACAGTTCTTGCATTCTTTGTGTACTACTAATTTCTAGACTATCCTCCCTTAGGAAATAAATTTGTTCCCACCTAAATTGTGTGTGCAGATTTTTTAAAAAGTCATCTGAATGTACAAGAAATACAGTAGCCTGCTTAGAATAACTTAGAAACGCATGGCTGGAAGATGCCATTGTGTCAAACCTACATCCTATTACCCATTTTACAACTTAGTAATTAAGTAGCCACAATGAAAGTTAGGATAAGAATCCAATGATTAAAGTTATCACAGAGCAAACAACTTAAATAAGAACCCTAACAAATATAGGTAAATGATAAAAGAACATGCCAATCTAAGGGAAAAGCAGGACTTCTTTCCTAGAAAAGGAACTGTTTCAATCATTCTGAAGTTTGCTTATTAGAATTAGGAGTTATTTGGTTAAGAATAATTTAGGATTAAAGTGCTAACCTTATTAAAAAAACCCAAAGTCTAAAATGAAATGGCCTTAACAACGTATGAATTAGGTCAGCTGTAAAATATACCAGTCATTAACCAATAAAGTATGTCCTTCAGGGATGGTGGGAACTCTAATTAAACATTGTTTAAGAGGTATAAATGTCTGTGCTGTTATTTGCCTCAAAGATTTGTTAATTACTTTCAAAACAGAAACTCTTAAATCTTAGTTGTTCTGTTCAACGCTATGAGTCAGATTTTCAAAGCTCTCAATTCCAACATTTATTCCCACAACTCTACATACCTAATTGATTGTATCCACAAAAGCTTGTGTGTCTGTGCACGTACAAGGGTGTAAATAACCAATGTTTTCTTTTGTAGCAACGCCAGACTAAGAATTGTTCTTACACTCTGCTACAGTTCATCGTTCCTTCAGGGACGCTTGCAAGAACCTTCTATATGGCAGCACTCTAAGTGTGCTTGTTGAAATCTAGAATGAAACTAGATTTTTTTTCCATTAATCTGGATCATTGCAACAGCCTAGCCTATTATGTGGCTGTTCAAATAGTTACACCCATGCAAACAAGGAGGGAGTGAAAATACAAAGTGGAAACAAGCAACCAGGTTTGGGTTGTTTAAACTACACCAAGAAGCCTCATTACTGACATGCAAATCAGGTAATTGGTACTTTGCCTTTGATTAAAACCACACTTCAAGAGAGAAACTGACAAACTGACTTTGAAAACATACATGACTGTGCCCATAATCACACACATAGTTACTTATTCTCACTTGACTTTTCATGCAAAGTAACAGAAAAATGAAGATTAAGTAAAATGGACAATTCTTTTTCAGTATACAGCAAAGTCTTGATCTTTCCACAACATAGCTGTAAAATTTAACCAAAAATGTATACTTACTGTATATAAACCTTCCTGTGTTGAACAGAAAGTTGGACATAAGCACCCAATAAACAACCATGGCTCCAACAAGCGATACCATAGAAAATAAGAGGCTTGACCATTGACCAAAGGATCCAAAGTAATACTTGCAAACATCTGGAAATTCCCAGTTTGAGGTATCTATTAAAGCTGAAGAGGATACAAAACCCAGAAGCATATTTAAACAAAATGTTATATTAGAGTCAGTAGAACTCTTCATGACAGTATGTGTTCTTGTTTCAGAGTACTCTTGACAGAAATTCACAGTGCTTCCAAGGGCTAAGAAGATTGCTGTTAACTTTAAATTTGAACATTCATAAGGCCTTTGAAGGAGCCTGAAGTGGTAGAGGCTTTTATTGTGGCTATACTACTACTTTGAGTACTTCCAGAAGCACTGGAATAAGACATGGTGACAAAAATGCAGCCATGCATTTGCAGCTAAAGGCTTTTGCATGAGGTATGGCAAAGTAGGCCAGACCATGAACTAGTCCTCAACAATGCCCTGAAATGAGCTGTCACAAACTGGAGGTCTTAACTGCCTTTATCTGAGCAAGTGAGGGGTTAGTTTATGCATAAAAGCACCAACTACAAAAGCTGCAAGATGAGTTTTGAACAATAAAAGTACATTCTAAGTAGAACTACTGTCATTGAGGCAATTGTCCATAAATTGCTTCCGACATAATATACATAAATATTAGGGTAGTACAGACATACAACACAAGTGGATGCAGCTACAGCCCATGCTGTTCCACTGCAGAACATGATCAGAAATACAGGTAGAGAACTGGACAGTGTTTATGGAGCAGAAGGGAAGCCTCTAACTCTGCAAGTCCCCAAACGCTTAGTAAGTGAACATTTGAAACGGTGCTTGCTAAGAGTTTGGGTTTGGCTATAATACTTAGGTTCCAGAGAACTGAAGGACCATCTAATAGGGGAAGACAGATATTTAGGTGACAGAGCTTAGATCAGACTACAAAAGTAGGGAGACATTCAAAGGAACAGCTTTTATTTGCAGGTCAGATCTAACATATACTAAAGATACAGACAAACTATGAATCTATTAGATCTCTGTATTTCACACTTCATGGAAATATCTGCGTTATGAAGCTTTGTATTTCTTACGTATCATTTTCCGTGATTTCACAACTCTGTAGCAGCAATAAAGAGTCAAAATGCCCATCAGTAAGATGAGAATGATTCCAGAAGTAAAGCCTGCCTGTTAAGAGGGAGAAATACATTTTACTTTATCAGTAACACTACAGAAAAATGAAGAGCAAGCCATGTTGCCAAAAACAATTTCATACACATACACTTTTAATAGTTCTACCTGTTTTATTCCCCATGGGATACTTAATATAGATGTACCCATCATTGTATTCCATATCATAAATCTAGGAAGAAAAGAAAAAAGCCAGTGAATAATTTAAGAAGCACTCTTACTTCATACTACCCTCTTAGCTACAACAGTTATGCATACAATATAGAACATTCACTAATAATGCATTTTCTGGCTAATATATGGCAAGGTGCTTAACATACATTGTCACTACACTGGAGTTTTTACCATAGCCATCTGTGCAACTGTCAACTTTAAAAGCAGTTCCTAATGGACTGTACACGTAGATTTCATCAGGAGCTGGAAGTACATGATCAGGAGCAATCTAACAAATAGGTAAAAAAAAAAAAAAAGACTTATTAGTAACACCAAAGTAACTATTGTCCCAAATACAGCAAGCCAACTGTTGTAAATCACAAAATCTTTCAATGAAAAGTGCATTAAAAAAAAAGGTTGCTCTACATTAATTTTCTCCCCATGAGAAAAAAACAGTTGATAGGATTTTTCGCTAGACAGCAGAAAACCAGATTTTTCTTCTACAAAATGTAACATACTACGCACAGACTATATTAGTTCAATCATTGCAGCTGACCGCTGCTTAAATCTTCTTATAGATGGGAGAAATGAGTACACACATTTGAGCAGCCTGGACCACTGTTAAAAAAATTCAAGCTGTTTGTCTGTTTTCTGTGGATGGTGAAGGCATTGCACAAAAAGTCAATCACAACTTGTGATAACACAAGACTTACTAAGGCACTCAGCTACTAGATATTTACCTCAAAGCAAGCTGCAGAGCAATCTTCCCCCTACCTTTATTCGTGCTTCTTTTATAAACCTTGGCTGTGGAAGACCCAACATGCCAGACACCACTCAGTTAATCTGGCCCTGTCTTTGCCTTACCAATGCCCTGTCTGCAGGAGACGTGAGCCTGCTGTAGTAATGAATTCGCTTATTCATTGCTGAAGCTTCATCAGTGACTCTTTGCGTGTCATCGTTCACACTGACTATGTTTGTAGGCTCCACATGAAATGGTCTAAAGGAGGGAAAAAAAAAAAGAAAGAAAAGGAAAACCCTTAAAACCCTAGAAGACAAGAGCTAACATACAACTCAGAAAACAGCTTAGCATCACTCAGGATGAGTCCGTCATTCACTGACACAAAGCAAATGCAAAAATGTCACTGCCATAAGGTAAGCTGCCATCCATGAAAGAATCATGTGTTTGTATCATCCACTTTAAAAATGGCCTCTTGTGCAGATTCTGTGGGGTAACATAACATCAAAATTCAGACCTAATATCCAGTCTATTAGTTCTCAACAATGAGTCACACCAGAACTACATGTTAAATAAGCTTGGCCAAGCTTATTAGTGCCTTTAACCAGTGTTGCCAGAACTACTGATGAGGAACAGAGGTAGAAACAGAAAGTGTGAGAATGCAGAAGCAGAAAAGAGACAAAGAGAGAAACGAGTGGTGGTAATGAGGACCACCTATGAAAAGAGGCTAGGAACTACTAAGCTACCCCAAAACACTGTAGGAAATTGTGTTTAATGGGGAAGGAACCAAGCCCAAGTAAGTCCTTGTGCTCATACTATTTTTAAGCCAATGCAACCAGGAATGGAATTTGTCACAGAACATGAAACAACAGATGCCCACTCGCAGTTCTGAGCTACTTCAAGACTTCCTTTCAGATTAGGGTAATCACAGAGAACAGGACTGTCAGCAACAGAAGTCCTATGTCTCTCATACAGAGATGTACAGAATACAGGCGGTCTCCCTTACCTCTTCCCCAGATGAGTTAGACTGCAGGCATAGTAACAGCCACTAAAGGAGAAAGCAGCCACACCACATGCCCCTTGTTTTCTCTACACACACATAGGTACAGAGCAAGCAGAATGAAAACTGCTCCTGGAGTTTCAACACAACAAAAATCGGCTTCTCGCAAAGGGCGCTACCAGAGATATGCAATGCAAGCAAGATATTGCAAAGATTTTTTTTTTTAATCAAGTGTCATTTCCTTCCATATAGGCATACTGTACTATTGCCTAAATGCGACATTCACTCCTAGCACTGACAGGCTAATTTCTCACCTAAGAGTGGAGATACTGGTGGCCTATAAGCCTTGATATAGGGTTTTGGGTTTTTTTCCCTTTCACCAGTGCTTTTAATTTCTAAAGCAATCTCATCAGCTTTCTGATCTTCTTCTTCCAGGTTGATATTTAAATCACTCAGAAACAAGAACTAGCCCCAAACCAGAACCCACAAAAATACAGATTCCAACAAGTTTCAGGCTACCAAGAGCAGAAATTAGGTCAGCAATAAACCCATGCCATTTTTCCTGTAATACAAGCAGAGCCTATTTGAATTGACTGTTTTTCAATACCCATTTCTGGCTCTGACTACAAAGGAACTTGGTCAATCCCTCCTGCCCCAGCTCTCAATACTGTGACAAAGGTCCCATTCTCTTTCCCAGTGAATCATTAAGCATTTGCACCATGGCACCACCTTTCATCTGGAAGGAAGAAAAGGAATACAGCTCTGAAGCTGGTTGTTATATCTTTGGAAGACATGAAGGTAGGTCCTTATTCCTGTGTGCTTAAGGGGACACAGCAGGCAAGATTATTTATGGGACTAATAAAAACTGACAAAAGTGGAAAACAGAGAAAAATAACTTCCTTCTCCACAAATTCATTCTTTCATCTTAGACTTCATTAATTCTTGCATCTTCCTTCATCATGGAAAAAACTGCTTAGGCTTACTAAGCCATTTCCCACTCACTGAAATGAAAGTGAACACATTTTCAATTTTTAAAGCATTCTCAACTGACTCTTCTTTTCCATGTCTATGACATAAAGGGGGAAATTCCCATTTTGTGTGTGGACTTCTGTGGTGTTCTTATAAACAATTAAGAGAGATACCGCAATTAAACAGGAATACATTTTAAGCAATAGCTTTATTACTCAAGGCAGAGGCACACAGGGCTAACTAATTCCATAGGTTCGTAACGTACAAAAATACACATGGACTGTCAGCTCTAAAGGACTTCACTTGTTTTAGCTTAAAATTTATTGGGCTGATCCAATCATTGGACACTCCTAAAAAATATTTCATTAGAAGACCTGTAAAATAAAGACTGTTGTTATGAAAACAGGAAATGTAATAAGTTTAAATCCCTCCCCACCTCCAGTCAGCTCTCTGCTGTTTTCTTTTTGGAGCACTAACACACAAATTATATTTAGAACATGAAAAGTATGTGTTTTGCTGATTTTACAGCAGCTGCATAGTGTGAAGAGCTTCATGAGGACTACCTCTTTTCCCATCTCCAGTTAATATTATTAGTACATCCCCATAAACTTCTACTGCTACTGTCAAAAAATTACACTGAGACACTTGCTTCAAAGCGAGCAGATCTGTGGCAAAGATTTCCTTCAAAATGGTGTTCAACAACTGCTGACATTGATGTCAAAGAAAATTCTTTCAGACTGGAAGACAGTGGGAGATTATTGTTTAAAGCAATTCAAATTAAAGCCATGGATGATATTAAAATTAAAATAACAGAAAACATGAATACAACATCCTATTTTATGGGGAAAGCAGTGTTATTATTAGTCAACGACCAAACAAATATCAAGAAAAAGTTTCAGGTATAGCAAAAAACCTATCTCTCCGTAGGCAAGAAATTCTTTAGAGAAAGGTATTTCATTTTCTTCAGTATTATGAAGAGAGTCTGGATTGAACAAGCAATTTATGGTCCAGCACAAAACAGAAGGGTATGATCCAGAATCTAATCTATGGGTAAGGAAAAAAAGACTAAACAACCCCAAAGAAATTCTGTGTATCTGTTGCTGCTGCTTCCTGCCTGGACGGCTGCACATGTTTAATGCTGCCAGTACTTGGGCTACTTCGCCTCTTGATCCCTTCTGGTGCACATCTGTTGAGAATGAAAATTATCTAAAGCAACAATTAATTTTCTTTTTCTTAGGGTACCATTGCACTGCTAGTCTTACTGAGCAAGTAACTACACTAAAATAGACTGTCCACCCATCAGTTTTACAGTTATTAGAGATCTCTTTGAAACATCAGTCTGACTTGGAAGCTATATGGGCAGGCTGGGGTGCAACCTTCCTCCCTGATCTCCACTAGGGAGATCTCCACATTTCCCAGCCCTCAGCTATACCTAGATCAAAGACTGGTTGTTGGGCATACTCAGACAGAAGTCTGAGAAGCTCTCAAAGAAGTTTCCAAAGACTGAGATTTTCAAAGCGCAAAGCAAGTAGGATATAATCTGGGGTGTATTTTGGAAAACTCTCTTTAGGGACCTTAAGTCTGGCAGACTAGCACTCTGTAACATGCAAGCATCAGCAGCTGCAACAGATTCCTAGAAAACTTTCTGATTTATACAGGCAATCACATTATATCTCTCACGTGGCAAAATGATTATGAAAAGGATATGGGACAATGTGATCTGGGAAGGGGAGAGGTTACATGACCGGAGGGTGTGACTATCAATGCAAAACAGCGCAGACAATTTCCATGCATTGAGATAAGACTATAGCGTCCAAATGAATTCATTATATCCATACTAAAAAACACAATTACAATTTATATTTCAATAGCTAGCCTGAAAAACAATGCTCTTTTAACCAGGGCAAACACACCAGTAAAACACAGCTGTTTTCTACAGTACAATGAGTATGGACAAGATGCAAGATCTCATGCAGGAGGTCCACACCTCCCATACACTACACCCTGCAGATGTACTTCAGAAGGCATTCCCAGAAAACCTGCAGCTACACTCACCTGCTAGTTATTTCTCACTCACACAAAGGGACAGTTAATAAGAATTCTAGTGCTGGTCCAGGAAAAGAGAGAAGAGGGCTTCTGTCCAAACTTCCTCACATTATGAACTTCAGCAGCAATTTTTGCAAGCAAAGAAAATGAAAAGAGATGCTCATGATTAAAGCTGTTTCCAAATACTGTGCTAGGCAAAGTTCAAGTGTTGGATTTGGAGGGTTAGGGGGAACAGCACAACAGGAAAATTTGTTTGGCAAACTACATACAATCTTGCAACTGCTAGCATCCATCAGGGTGCTACAACTTTTTTCTGGGTATTTTCAGCAATGTACCACATCTTGCAGAGCAATGAAGCAGTATGACGAATACTTACCCTAAGAAGTTTTAAACCAAATAATACTGTTTTCCAAGTACCTTTGCTGAAATATTTTTAAACAACAAACAACTGGTTCTGGACATCTGATCAAAAGTAGTTTTCTGAGTTTTGAGCTGTGACAATATAATGCAATTTTTTGTGTCAGTGCACCTTTTGGCTTTATATGATGGTATTAATGACTTCAAATCAGACAAACTTTTCATATTTAAATAAATAAGAGAAAACCTTCTTTATAGAATGCTTAACAATTTGTTTCCTCTCCTCCAAAAAGACCACAAGGAGCCACTTTAGCTTACTGCACAGCTTGCTTTGACACCTGACATCGATCAGTTACTTTTCAGGGATGCAATAGGATTATTACACAGAAATAAAACTAGTAAATTCCTATGGCTTTATTGTTTTACTGAGTCACCAAATTATTATAGGAATGCTGTACATGGCACAGGAGAAACTAAGGAGTAAAACTGATTCATTATCATGGAAATTAAAGTAAGGAGAAAAAGTAATAAGAAGACAACTATACTCATCAGTTGCTATTTCTTAATCAGGAACTGTCTATCTGCATAGGAACATTACAGATGTCAGTGTGCTTCTCTTAACGAAACCTGTTACAAAGAATTCCACAACTGACCTGATTTTTACTTCCTAAGCTGTCTGAATTTACTTAAGCATTGTAAACAGTACACTTACAGTTTATCCTATAAGACTTTTATTCTCTTGGCAATACATTTTACTTAAACTTCTTCCACATTCACATCACCATTGTCATTATAATGATTACAGCATGACCATGCAAGTATCTTAAAATGCTGGATGCAGAACCAAAATAACCTTTCAGAGCACAATACTAAGCCACCTGTGTTGCTCACGGAATACACATTTTAGCAAATAATCACAAGCTTTACCATACCACATTTCAAGCACTGTTCCCTCTTCTGTGTCAAAGGCAAAGCTATTCTACTCTTCTCTTACAAAGAAGTATGAAGGTTCTTAATTAAGAAGGTTCTAATTCTTCCCAGTTAGGAAGTAGTAATATCAGGAATTAGTAGAAATGTTAGCAACACAGGAAAATGAAAAACAGGCAATGGAGTCAAAAGACCACAGGGGTGTGGAGCTATAAAAGCATAATGAATGCAGCAACAGTAGCCTTGCACAGGTAAGTCCTGACCATTGTCTACCATTTTGCAAGTTAAATGAACTTTGAAAATAAAAGGGAACCAACCACTTCTGCATGAAAAAGGCTTCTCTGACTCTCCTCTACAGACACTGTTTAATTTATAACTGTTTAACTTCACCTACTGATCTCTTCAACATCGTGTGAGAACACTAAGGGACTTCAAAAAGAATAGAAAAAGGAAGGTTTGATCCCCCTTTAGCAGGGGGCATTGCCCAGTTTTTTCATATGCAAAACAACCAACACAAAACATCATTTGTTTCTCTCAAGGTTCAAGTATTCCTGAAGACAATTGCAGTATCTGTTGACAATAAATAAAGAGCAGTCAGAAGAAAAAAAGAAACTCCCTCTCTTGCATACAATAATCATCAATAAGCCATTGCATCAATGACATTCTAGTTTTTAAAGGGACCTACAAAATGGGCAAAACACATCTGATACGGTGTAATTCAGGTCTCTGTGGACGAACAATAACATCCTCTTCAAAAGGATTAAAACTGGCTTTATATTTTCCCCAAATTAGCAAAAGAATACTAGACTAAATAATTTACAATTCTAAAAAACAATTAACTTATTGTTCTTATGTAAACACTAAAAAGCACGCCTTTCAAAAATCCCAAATCCTCCAAGCTGTTAAGAAAACCAAATAACTATGTAAATGCCGTCAAATCTCAAACAACCCAAACAAAAGAACAGAACAGCACTAAGACAGACAAACAGCAATTATAAGCAAATCACACAAAACACTTCAAGAGCTATCTCAATCAAAGCAAAATGACCACCTACCAACGTCTGATCAGGTTTCTGAATAGCGAGTTAAAAAAAGGAGCAAACTAAGCAGAGCAAATCAGGTACTATTGCACTTGCACTGTTTGGTACTTTTACGCATGAGAAACCTCCCTCCCTGGAGCTGCTACTCCCTAAAGCTCTAATGAAGAAGCCCTTCAAATGTGCCCACTGTTCTGACCACAACAGACACAGACCCTGATGGCCTGCTCCTCCTCATTCCTTCTTCTAAAACTGCGGCTGCCTCTTCCAATACACACACGTGGAGTTCAACATTGATTTCCAGGACTTCCTGTTATCCCAGCGCTCATGCCCTTCGTCTTTGTGCCTCTGCATGCTTGGAAGGCAAACGATTAAGCTGTAGAAAATGGGAGAATGAACTCAGGGGACGAGCAGTAAGGACAAAGTGGATGGATCTGCAAAGCTGGAGGTTGTGGAGGTGGGAACACAATCCAAGTACATGCTTCTGCTTTTGGGGCGGGAACCAAATGCCACATGCTATATGACCTCTTATGAAGCTGAGTCTCCAAACTTAAGAAATCACAAGAAAAAAAAAAAACACACAACGAGGAAACAATACCTAACCTCAGTTTTGAAAAGCAGATCTTGACATTTTGATATATCACCAAGGTGTAAACTTCTGTCGTTGCTACTGCATCACCACACCACCTGAAACCCAGTGCTTCTCAAACAGAAAACATACTTCCTCCAACACAGGGAGCTCCTAAAAGCCATATAAATTAGCAGTCGCCTTTTGCCAGGAGGGCCCTGAGCAGCTCAGACACTCCTCAGAAAGAAGATAAAGCAAGAATTCATAGTCATTTTGCACATTTCCTTTTCCCACCTGAAAGTACTCTACCATTTCCTAACCTTTATACACACAATTCTGTATGCTCCTACACCTGTGCTCCATTTGTTCCCCTGGGCTCACTCAGACACTTACCTTCCTGCCTTTGCTCCCAGAGAAAAAGAAAGATTGCTTAGCCCCTGGCTAAGGTTTAAGAAGGCTTTCGTGGTTTTCCAAAGCTGCAGATTGAGACAGCAGCAAAATGCTATTATCAAGAATATTTTTTTTGCTGAAGTGGGCCCCAACAAGAGGATTTTGTATACAACAGTGCCATCTTTAGTTCCTTCAGGAAAACTGCTTTACTGAAATATGAAGCTGGATGCAAAGGGAAAAATAAGAACCTTAAACAGGGTCCAAGAGGTACCACAGGGCTATTCCTTCGCCTAGAAATGCAGAGCAGGTGCCTCCAGCTAGCATCAGAAAGGCAGTGCCCACTCTGATCTCCAATTTGGTTCCATGACCAGCTCACAGAAATCTGCAACAGCAGAGGAAGTCTCCCACTCCAACCTCCTTGGGGGAACAGAGCTGTTAAACTCTAAGAAAACATGCAAAATAACCACTTAGCTAGATATGTGTTATTTTCACAAGCATGGCAAAAGGCTGGGCTGATGAATTTTTCATATTTGCTCAATCTCAAAAAATACTACCTTCTTCTTCTTAAGGGCAGCAAAGGTCGCTCAATTCCCTCAGCACTAGCAAATAATGTATTTTTCCAGCATCACTTGCAGAATGCATACAGAGCCACTTACACATACTGGCAGCCATTTATCTACACCATCTGGCAAGCCTTCTTGCATAGTCTCAACATTTCAGTTTGTTGCGCTAAATAAAAACCATCATGCCTCAGCATACACACGATATTCCGTGTCTGAAGAGCACTTTAAAAGCCACACGCCAAGTTCTTATTAGATCACTCACTCTGAAGTGATGTCAACAGAAGAGTCTTATCCTTATAAACAAAACACAATAAGAACATCTGTTCACCCGGTGCTTGGAAATAATATCATATAGAGACAAAGTAGGAACTGTTTGTACTCAGATCCTGGTTTCCAAATGTTCATCTTCTGTCTTTGTAGGATTCTGTCGCTAAAAGCAAAGATTAAACAACTAATTGCTATATAATCATTCTGTAGGTTCGGCCTTCCTCATACCTTTTGCACTTAAAGTCTTCTGGATTAAACTGTATATTCATGATTCCATAATTGCTTTCATCGCCTCCGACAGGAACCAAGAGAGGTTTGGTATCCTCTTCCATATTTGGTGAATGCGCCACCTCCTTCTAGATTCTGTCAGTTATTCTGACCTAAAAAAAAGGAAACAAGGCAACCGCAGGTAAGTAAAACTGTGTCCCTGCTATGAATTTAACATTAGCAGAGTCCCACAGCGTCAGAAGCTCCTGGGATGAAAAGCACCAGAAAATCCCTTCTATTTGCCACTTGGTAATTCTCATTCCATAATGTAAACATCACAGGGCAAGTACAGCGGGGACAGTATTTTTTACAACACACTATCCATTTAAGTAAAGTGCTCAATGTACAATTGTGCTCTGAATCTCTTTTAGCACTGCAAGAGGCAATATAAATTAAAGGAATATGATGGATGGTGTTGTTTATATTGGGACTGAAACAGGTTTGTAAAAAGTAAGGCTAGGAATCTGAATTTCCTTTGAGCTACCACAGCTAAGAATCGAGTCCACTGTGTGCAAATTAACATGAAATATATTCATATATAGGTCTTACCTTCTTGCTTTCAAAGCATGGGACTCCTTTTCTTACTGCTCCACTGTAAGACCAGTGTGATTTTTAAAGAAGCTGTCTTTCCAATTTGCAACAGCAGAGCCAAGAACAATTTATTAGTTATTAGAGACTATTGTTTCACTAAATTATTTCAAACTTTGCAGCAGGCACATATGCAGTTTTCCAGTATATTTCCCAGAATAAAGATCAGATTATTGCAGTCTACTGTGTCCAGGCTCTTTGAATTAAAGGCAATAAATGGTTTAATAACACATTCATAATAATGTATTATATGCATTCAGAGCACTCCTGGCCAAACAATGGGGAGCAGATCACTTTTAAGATTATGGATTTCCACTTGGACTGAGTTAGTCCTCACATGGGACTTGCTGTGATCTCGTGTGCAGATGAATTAATGTAACAGCTTTAACAGCTCTCACCCCTGCTACCTCCTGAAGAATTCCTCAGCCAGGACTACTTCTTCAAACACATGGTAGAAGTATCTGCTCTTTCGGTGGAACTGTTTCCTGATGCTTTAGAATGTTCGACAGGCTGACAGAAAGAGATGAGAACCAGAGCTGGCACAATATAAGGAAGAATGGCACTGCATGTTTGAAACCTGGGGTGGTGATGGAGGAAGGTAGGATAGGAAGAATGAGGTGTGTATCATCCTCCTGTATCCTCAGGGAAATACACTGTAAAGGCCCAATCCCCAAAACTACATCAACCTAAGTTAAGCACTGCTTCTATCCCTTCCTAGCTGTATGTTGCAAAGTCTCTCATTAGCTCATCCTGCCTCAGGCAAAAAAACCCAAAGAATCTGAAGGAGAGGATGAAAAAGGAAGGAAAGTTAGCAGTTTTCAACCATGCTGACTCTCTGAGGTTCAAACAATTGCTAAAGGAGGAGTGGGAAAACACTGAAGGAGCGCATGGCTGGGACTGCAGAAGCACTAAGTCTGGCTCAACCTGCTGAGGAGGTGCGTTTTAGATGACAGGGACACGCTCCCCCTCTCCCTCCCCGCCCCCGGTGTGCTGTGCACAGGTAATGGCTCTCTGCTCTCCAGGGGAGGGGACCACTGGAGGCTCCAGTTCATGGAAATGCTACTGAAAGCACTAGTCCTGCCCTTGACAGTTCAAGGGCATTTGTGTGATCCCACACTAAACGGGACTGGGAAGACTGATCGGGATGAAAATTAACCATTCTTTCCCTTGCTTTAAATCCAAAGCTTGGGGCTTGTTGTCTGGCTGCACACACTCGCATGCTCGTGCAAAGCGGCGATAGTGCATGGGTGAAGCCATTTCATCTGGCAGTGCTGCCAGTCTCCTCCTAGTTTCGGCATCCATGACGAGATTGGAACAAAGTTACTGAGGCATGATTATGAGTTTAAAGGCATGATTTTCTCTTGTTCATTTTAGCTCTTTGAGAGGACATAACAAGCGATCATTGATAATAACCCAGGCAATCTTAAGAGCCTTATCTGCACTCCCTGGTAGCATCCTCTTTCTCTTGCACTTCATTTTTGCTGTCACACTCTCTAAAGCTTTTTCCTCTCCTCCTTCCAGAGCCTTCCCTAGATGGGGCTTCTCTTACCTACTTTAACTTACTGCTTCCTCTCTTCTGCCACTCTAGCCCTTCTATAAACCATCAGCTCAGATTCTTTGCCCTAAAATCCTTCTCTTCCACATTATTGCTGCTGGTTCTTTGGCCTCAACTGAATGTCTTGCATTCTCTCATCCTTCTCAGCTCCTCTGGTGATGCTCAGCTTAGAAATTCCTGCTCATTTCCTCTCTATTTTCTGTCTCTCCTACACACTGCCAAAATTGCTTTCCAAACTTGCCTTTACTAAGCACTGCTTACAATGAGATTTCTTAGTTCACAGCAATATTTTTATTTCATGTGGCACTCTGTTCCCTTCCAAACCCCATTTATAGCTCTCCTCTTGTTCACTTCTTTCCTATTGATTCCCCTTATTTTTCTAGAGCTCTAGGTCACCTCCTTCCTCCCTACTGATTCCCTGCACACTCCACTATTAAATTCATCCCAGTGCACACCAACTTCCTTCAGCAGCTAAATACTTCTGAAACAAACCCAAAGACCCCAGAGATTTCATGCACTGCTACAGATATCCACCCACTCCTCTGACATTCCCATTACAGAATACTTTTTGCATCCCTCTGACCACCCCTGAAGACACCAGCCTTCATGTACTTTTATTTTTTGCTTTTAATTGTCACCTCTAGATTCTACAGCCTCCTTCTAAGACCTCACCAGTAGTCTTGGGTAGAAGACTGGTAATGTGGTATTATCTTCTTTTATTCCATTCTTTTCTCTTTTTCACCTTAACATCCTGCATGCTTTTTCTGAACAGATACACCTCAGATACAGATCCCTCACTCATTCTGCATTTTGCAAATATCTCTGAGTTTAAATCACACTTTGGATTCAGTCATAAAAATGCAGATGAAAATTTAAATTCCTAATGACTGAACTGAAATTTGAAATAAATTCAAATCCCAAATACTCAGAAGTGTTTTTAGCCAGAACTTTCCGGAAGACTGTGGTACCGAGATCCCTTCCTTCCACAGGCCCCGGTTTACAGTGCAGATAAAGCAGACACGACATGCTAATTTAAGATACTGCTTTGAACACATCCATTCCTTAAAACCTGTTGTAAATAATGTATTTGTGCTTTACAATTCAATCTGACAAGTGCAGACAACATTGATCACCAGTTTGATTTTTTCTGCACTATGGCTATAAATAAAGAACTCAGAACATTTTATAGTATTCCATAAAGAAAAATAATCCTTCCAAAACATGGCATACACTAAGTTTGGCTTGACAGTGTGATTTGGGGCTTATGGAGTTGTTGCTTACTGACTCTCTAAGGTCCACCTAAAAGCTGGATTGGCAAAACCAACTTATTTTTTAAGTGCTTATTGTTAAGAACAGGTAGGTGAAGCCTATGACCAACAAATTGATTACAAATAGATGCAGCTATCACAGATGTAAAGTCTGCAGCTAGAGTCAGTACAGCTTAAAAGACAATTGTAAGCAGAAGAGCAAAATGAAGAAGAATGAACCTGATTAACCTCTCTTTTATCTAATTTCTACCGCTTTTGGCTGGACTGCACTCTCAATAAACATTTTTAATACACGGGATGGAGCCAGTTGTGCCATCTGAACTTACTGCCTGACAGTTTCCATTACAATAACCTCTTCTCAACTGCTTACTTTCCTAGTGTCCTAGTTCCCTAAAGATTTTTTTTATACCGGGTATCTGATCTATGCTCACCTCATTCCAGAGGTTTCTTTTAAAAACCTGTGATATGACATGCAGTATTTGCTATATGGTCTTAAAAAAGCCTGTAATCAGGATGGGGATGTCCAACACAAAGAATTCATGTCAAAAATCAAAGTTGCTTGACAAACCTCATTCTGTTTCTATATTTCACGATACACTGTGCTTACAGTTTCCCTGAGGCCACTGTTGCATTTGAAGAATTACTATGGATCTCTGGGAATTAACGTATGGCTGCTTAGAAATGGAGAAGGCTCTTTTAAAGATATCTGACTCATTTGCTGTCAAACTGGATTTTACTGCAAGTGGGAAAGAGGTTCCTGCTAGTTGTAGTGTATCTGGAGTTGGTCATATGAATTCATGGTACTTTGTCTTCAGCAGTGCTATGAGTTACAAAAGCATCACTGTTCCCTGTTGCTCATTCTCACAGTCTTTCCTCCCCCTATTTGTGGTGGCGCAGCTATGTGTCTTCTTTCTTGTCCTGGTGGAAAGAACAGGACTGGGGAATAGATCTGGCTAAAAAAATAAATCTAAAGAGGAAGATAATTGTTTTGGGTCTTGTCTGGGGTTGTGTGGGTTGTAGTTCTCCAAACCAGCAGTTTCACTGTCCATTCGAAGAGACACAGGTATGGTTTGTGGAAGAAAGAAGGCAATACTTCTAGAAGCATAACTAAAACCACAGCCTGAAGGACCACCTACCTCTGACAGTATGTTCCCTGTTTTTTTCCTTCTGCTCAGAACCTTCGTCATGTAACGCTGCAAAACAAAAGAGCATTTGTGCTGTGACCACTGAATGATGTTAAATATTTTGAAAGCAACCAAGTGACTCTCAAACTGAGGATTCAAAATTAGTGGATTTTTCCTTGTGTTTTATTCCCTGTCCTTAGAATAAGGATAATACCAATACTCGCCTTAGCTCATAGATACATTGTGAAGAGAAATTAACTTTTATGTAAAACTTAGCTGTGATTCGTACTAAGCACTGCAAAAAATGTCAAAGAGGAGCAGTTAAAGATTTTTAAGCAGCAAATAAGGTATGTCTGTCTCATGCAAAAGTGAACTGAACACTATCACTTTGCTGCTCTAATAAAACATTCCCTATTCTAAGAACTGTCCAGCCTGAGAAAAATAATGATCTGATAACTAAGTATTCCTAATCAATATCATAACTCGTATGTACCAAGATGAGGTAAGATTGCCTAGGCAATTTTAATTTTCATTAAACTTAGATAAGTTTAATAATCCAACCTTTGAATACTTCAACTTTGCAACCTCTGTCCTTTTAAACACAGGTTTCTGTGTTTAATTTTCTGTGCACAGGTACTGGCTTTGCTTTGTAACGTATTTGGTAATGAATGAGAAATAGTGATTTTCTCCTCAATATATTGCATCCTATATGCTTCTCTAAAAGTCCTTCTTGTCTCTCTAGGTCCTCTGCCATTTGCTTGTCAGTATTCTACTCTTCTGCAAGTTCCATTTTTTTACCTGCAGGGACCTGCTTTCTGTCTTCCTCTGCCACAGCCATCATGTCTCTCCTAACTTCTACTAGTGACAGCAAAGATGAAGATCAGAGAGACTGATAACTGCATTCTCCCACAACTAAAATCTTATTGATAAGGCAGGAACAAAGGAAGAAATTTTATGTTTTCCCCTGCAGCATGCTGTATTGCTGCTGAGGGGAAAAGGCTGTAAGAATGTTTTCTCTGCACCCATATTTCTTTTCCTTTGTAACTCAGCTTTGGCGAGGAAAGTGTTTGGTTTTGCTTGTGAAACTCCTAATCTATCACATAACTGATACCTGCTATGTACTCCTCCAAGCATTTGACTCCAGGAGGGAATACTCTGGCTTTGCTACCCCCAGGAAAGTCAGCATTTAGTGCTGTTGAAAACACCTCCCTAAACTTTTATGGCTGTATCTAGCATAGTTATTAAGATAAAAAGGTAGATCTGCCACAATAGCTATTATAAAGGAAATACACTCTTGATGTACCTTTGTAGTACCAAAACCCCCACAAATCTGGAGCAATGTTGACACTAAAGCATGCTTAGTTGTCCACCTTTCACTTATGAAGAAATGGCTACATCTAGAAGGAAATTTTTAAATACTCTTCCAGACATAAAAAGTCTGTCCAAACTGTCAGCATGCTAAAATAAGTTTGGGATTCTCTTCTGGGTAAGGGCTTGAAATAGCAATTACTTTTTCCAATCATATGCTATCAATACAGTCCTAACCACCATTAGTATCTAATCACCTACATATTCAAACACCATTAATGTCAAGATATCCTTCAATGGTAAAAAGTCTGCATAGACTTTGAATCCTGTTGTCCCTTTTCTTTCCAGGATATAATTTCACTGGTTGCCTGGGGTGAAGCTGACGTAGTATGCCCTCTTGTCCTATTTGTAATTCTCCTACAAACATCTGAAGCACTACATCAGAAAGGCAGTAAAAGGGAACAAGTGGATGAGAATTTAATAATCCAGGTTTTCTGCTGCTGGTCACAAACTGTGAAGCAATACCTAGAGGCACGCAAGTTAGTCTTCCCAGTCCAGGCTACACTCCACATGACTTTCAGATGGTAATCTAAACAGGGCTAGACCTTCATTAATCCTCACTGGTTTGCCCCTAGGAGTTTCTGCTTTCCCTGGGTTCAGGTTCTCTCTCTGCCTGCCCCCCCCCCCCCATTTACAAAGTCTCAGAAGCTTCAAAGAGTGAAGATACTGACCCAGCAAATTTAAAAACCTCATTCTAGCCTGGTGGCTGTGCTGTGATCCGGTCTTCTTTGTATTGGATGACAAAACTGTATTACAAATTGCTTGCACTGTGAATCTAATGATGAGTTTATGGCTCAGCTACAAATGTGTGTGTCAATGCTGTATGATGAGACACCCATCTCAACAGATCATTCAATTACAACCCAAGCAACGCAAGAGGGTTACCAAACAGGTTTACCCCATAGCAGGAACAAAACTGTGTTCAGTTAGTCCGTCATCCCATGAGCACAGACAGCGCTTAGCTGGCTTGTAGGACTGCTATTTATCAAAGAACCTTCCACAGAGGGCAGGGGGAGGAAGGCAGAGAAGGGCCATGACCACCACAGCCTCTACCATGCCATCATGGCTACCAGTGCAGTTGGACGTGGTGCTGGGAAAACAGCAGCTGGAGCTCCAACAGCTGTTTATGCTCCACGTTACTAAAGCTAAAGTTGCTGCACTGACGTTCGCAGTGGTTTGGTTAACAATTTCCCCATGTAGAAGGAGACCCTGTGGACCAGCCATCACGGATGATGCCAGAACTCTTAATTTGGAAGTCATGGACCTTAAAATAAACAATCACCTATAAGTTGTTACTTTTCAACCTGTCTAATTACAACTGCAGTCTTAAATCATTTTGTAGGAATTCTGCCACCAAAAGCTGTTCTTTCTTTGTTTTGAGATTTCTAGTGGTTCTTAAGAGGATAGCTCCCAGTCAACTAGGTTAGACAAATAAAACCGTGACAATTTAAACTGTGGACACATCTTGCTTCATTTCTTATTTAAAGCCACTACTCCCAAAACCCCACTTCACACTCATGGTTTAAATACAAGAATCCACTAGTGAAAGTATTTAGTTCAAATAAGCAAAATTATTTTTGAAAGCACTACTTGAGGGGACCTGGTCCTCTGTTAAATTTTGAGCAGGTGAATGGATGAATAAAGCTCAAGGCATAAATCTCAAGTAAACTGCAGGCTGTGCGTGTATAAATTGTGAGAAATAAGCAGGCTCTACACTGAAAGACAAGAACTTCAAAGCAGAGTTCCTTGGTTCCTCTTTTGGGGCAGCGAGTCCTCCAACAGAAAGGACTGGAGAATACTATACCGGTCCTAAGAGTAGTAGCATACATTCAGACCTCCTTAAAACTGAGTCAGCTTGCCACTGGTTAGCTTGTCCACACTGTCCTACAACTGTATTGGGTGAAGATGATTTAAACTGTATAAGCAATGTAAACTAGTAAATTCAAGCTAGTAACTTTGGGGGGGGAAAAAGACTCTTCAGTACACAAGCTGAACCACTGTTGAGCTTCAGTGTACCTCAGACTGAACCAATGGGTATGTGGTTGCTGCCATATGATAAGTCTAAGGAAAATTAAGAAAAAATGAAAGGTTAATTTGTCTTCAACAGATAAAGCTTCTAGTATTTGTATATAGATTTTTTTTTTTTGTGGAGACTGTAAAGAAATACTTACAAGAAGATAAAGTTATCCCCCTAGGGATTAACTTATATTTTTAACACTTTTCTTTTTTTTTTAGGTTAATGGGTCCACAGGCCCGTCAAAACCGATGTGAGCTTTTCCCTCGGTTACGGATCGCCCCAAGAGCTTTCATGCCGCCTCTGTGCGCCAGACAACCCTCTGATGTTTTGGTCGTTTTCCCACGTAACACGTTACGGTCGAACCGGACGAGGCGCCGCCGCCGCGGGTCAGTTTCTGCGGGCCGAGCCGCTCCCACCCCGGCCCCCTCCTCCCCGCGGAGC